CAGTCGACGGCTGGGAAATTTAACGCATCATATGCTGAATGGCCAGAACATTTGTCCACTGCTGCTGTCAAATGGCACCAGGCCTAAACCCAATTATGTAGTCTGGTGGTAGGTGCTTTTTTGAGACCACACGGTACTCCATATTCGGGAGCCTAATCAACACACTAAATTACCCGTGGAATTTACTCTTCCGGACCTAGCTAACTTTCAGTACACATTTTGTAAGTCACAAGTGTGTTTTATGACGATATGACATTTTTCGTTCAAAATCTACTGATGATTAGTATAATGCATGTATTTATTCAATTAAGCACTTTATTTCTAATTGGAAGAGTTTTTGTGATGGAGGTAGGTTAAGTAGCGTCTTCGACCACTACAGCACTTAGCAAAACCGGCTATCAACGCAAAGGAGTTCAAGATTTGCAAACTTATGTACGCAACACAAGACGCATTTTTGAACTTTGTAGTGTGAAAAGGGAAAAAGACTTCATATGTCTTGGATGGGAATAAGGGAAATTAAATTCTGAGTACTAGTGTCTTAAAACGCATTTTGGTTACAAATGATATTAACTGACCCATTTGTTACTTGTATTTTGCATGGCAACTCCGAGCATGCATAGGTGGCGGTGCATGATGTTTGTTGGTAGGAAGGAATCACCAAGATTTGCCTTCGTTGCATATGCAAATAAAAGGAGCTATTTGCCTAGAGTTTACAACCTTTCCACCGGCCTTATGGGTACGACTCGAAATAGTAACAACGCCTAGGACACGAAGTGATAAAGGTGTACTCGGTCCCATAAAGTCGTACCGAATATCATTTATGCAGCTCAGTAACAGTCTGGGGTAATGAGATTCGACTCACTGCGCGAGTATTCGCTACTGGGAGGGAGCGTCAACCCTGAATGCTCTGATAATTTCTTGCTGACGGTAGAATCCAACTAATACGTAAAGGCGAAAACTGCATAGTTTTATGCGCTAAAGTAGTTCCATTGAATCATTTGCATTTTCTGGCATGCCAAAGAGAGATAACGTGCGAATCGTGCGATGAATTTTAATTATGATCTAGTCGGCGCAGCAAATTCAGATGTAACTGCCCCTGAAACCTCTAATTTTTCAATGGACGAAAAAGCACATCATAAAACCTACTCTGTCAACTGCATGCTTTTTGAGCAGTGATGAGATGGCGGTTATCATAACAAATCACATTTTATTACACAATTATATGTCTATAAATTGTGTGCGAAAAATGATAGAAATCAGTCACAGTTAGGACTAAATTGGGACAAATTTATCTACCGTGGGCTCTACTTAGTGTCCTTACTTGATAATGAGGGCTTCTCTTAAATTTGAGGACAGACTACAAGGCGCGTTGAGCCACATTCCAAATTTAGAGTGAGATCCGGCCGACCAATAGCATAATTGCTGCGTTAAACGGGAAGCCTAACATCACTTGCTGTGGGGAGGAGCCACGCCCTCCTCCGTGGAGTGGAATTTGGGGAGAGGTCAGTCACTAAAGTTTTCTTCCCGATGTGTCCATTGATTGGAGGAGGTGAAAATAACAGGTTCCTCGCTGAAGGACTACGTAGAAGTTTTGGACTCGATTGACGGTCATCGGGTGAAAATCGGAGCAAAGTTAGCAGCAGTCTCTTTTATCTCAGTAAAATAAACACATAAAGAGGTATTGTTTACTAAAAGATGATATTTTTAAGGCGCTTATTACTGAAACTCTTGGAAATGAAAAGCTGGTTACCTTAATGAGGCAGAAGTTTTGCTCTCAGGTAAGAGCTTCGGACAGTCATCAATGAACAGAGTGGGTCCATTTTATAGCGATGTGAGATTAATGACGTGCGAAGAAATATTCACGTAGACAAGGTGAAAGCTCACCCAATTATAACTATACCTCCGATAGTTAAAATTTGTAGAGTACCTACAACTACGAAGGTAGACCTTTTTAAACATTTTGATGACATTCCTACCATAAAAGTATGGTCCTAATGATGGAAAGCGCTGTCAATGCCGATAAGACGGTTGATTCGTTTAATAAGTCTACTCTTATGTTGCAAACCAAGCATTAATACTTCCGATGTCACGCTGGCTGCTTGACTGAAACAATTGCAAACTTACACAAACTTTGACTACGAGGATTATGCACAAGTTGCGAATAAGACTGAGACAATTTCTTATTAGGGTAAGTTAAGTAAAAATAGTGGGAATTTTCAGCATGTGGCACTTTAGCGTTCTCAACTGGGTGCTCTGTGGCTGTGTGCGAGGCATGGCTGAACACTAAATGATTTGACATTAGTGCCAAACTTGACATGGTTCGCCACCTAGCTGTGTTGTTGAACGCAAGGAGGGGAAGAGCTCGGAAAGCGACGGACTGGTTACCCACTTCTGTAAAAGTGCAATCAAATCGCTACTTCTTACTCAAGTCTTACACTTGCATAGGCCTGAAAACTTGATTTTGCCTCTGCTTCATATCCTCCGAGTTCATTTTATTACTGTCAGGAGTCCAATTCTAGCCAGTGCGTTTTAATCTTTGCGGCAATTTAGTCGCCCCAACACTAGCAATGGCTGTGTCTGGCAATGATACTGTAGTAGTGACTGGTTGGTTGCCTTGTAACTTAAGGAGAAAGCGATGAATTAAGCATAAACCCATTAGTTTCCAGTTTTCAATTTAACAATCCAACTTCGTGTTGATAAAGTGAAGAAAAGACTGTTGAGACAATGAGAGTGGTCCACACTAAGTTAAAATTAGCTCAAAGTGATGCTATTTTAAATACAGAATAATGAGGACCATCTGACTAGCGCCGGCCTAAGATGAAGCATGTATGTCGGGCAGGCATCGTTAACCACTAATTTGGGATTCGTATTCCTAAAAACGCACTTTAGGCAGCGTCCCTTCGATGTTTTAAAGGTTCCCTTTTATCGCCTATGTGTGGCACATATTTTTTTTTGCAAGAAATCGGTTCCGTGCAGTCTGCCTTGCCGTGCCACTGACGAAAGGGCGTTGATTTTAAATCGAGAATGTCTAGAATAGGTACATTAAGCAGACTGCCAATCAACGATAAGGCAAGCGAATGATTGATGTGCTCCGCCTTTTAGCATTCCTACGCGAATCTTTCATTTGCAGATGAAGGCGGGAGGGACGAGAGTCACAACTTTGTCTTCCATTTACTTTAAAGCACATGAGCTTGCAATTGCATTAAAGATACTGTAGTTCTAACGACCCTTTCTTCCCAGCACTGCAGACACCTTTGAGTTTGTAAAATTTAATTGCACATTATTAAACACAATATATCCTAGCGACCTCTTGATGTAAAGCTGATATGTTATCCTCAGTTCTTCTCTGCGTGTGATTCTTCCTATGTGGATGTCCGCTTAGAGTTGAACTTCTCCATAGTTGCTCCGCGATACTTCATTAACTCGTCCCATTTAGTGGGAGAAGCGAAATTACCTACTGCACAGCGGTACTATCAACAAGATTGTCGCAAAGAAAGGAAAACTGAAAGTGAGTGCTGATAAAATCCGCGTTCTGCCATTGGTTCACATTTCCGCAAAGCACAAAGTTCTGATGCATAGTGAAACGAAATTACCAAAAAAACGTCCACTTTCACGGGAAACTGCATGTAAAGTAGACGAAATAGATTTCCGCTTCTGTCTTCCACCAACTACACAGTACTCACACTTTTGGTTGTGCAAAATGTGGAGGAAAACAAATTGATGAGGGCCATAAATGACAGTGTCGACGATGGTGCCAAATGTCCGTTTGTCCTCCCATGTACCTGAGTCTAGAAATGAGTGTTCCGGGCAATTCATGGATAGAATGGACTTTGATTGTAAGAAGTAAGACATGAAGATTGTGGCATGAACAATTCACTAGACTAATACAAATTCACATCTCCATTTGGCTTTTCGATTTGTTTCTCCTTCAATGCACCTCTGTTGTGATGTATGATTTTTTTGTGCAATGAAGTTTATGCGCTAAACTTTTTTCACAGTCTTTTATTTTACATATAAAGAACTCCAGATTATATTTGGGGTTGATTGAAGCGAATACTTTTTACTATCAGCTGTATTTTTATGACGCCTGCTCCTGCCTTTAGCAAAACTTTAGGCAAGTTGCGCAGTAATGCGAAGGTAAAAATGGCCAAACGCCCAACTTTGGGAATTGTACTATAACGAGGGGATTTGGTTTACGACACATGAGTAGAAGCGTCATTGCGGAAAATTAAGGCTGCACGGCAAATTACATTAGTGTGTCTTAATGATGCATTTGTCAAGTGGGTGCTCCACCCTCGGCCAGCGAAATCACTCCAACCTGCATCCCGAAGCCTGTCATGTAGGCCTTCTTCAATGCCATCAACAAAGTCTGACTGTTGCCTAGAAATTGCTAGGCTGCAGCTAGAAGCGTCGAACCTTAACGAAGCATTATGTGCATCTCATTTCCAAGTACCGAAAATAAATGCAAAACCACGATAACTCTTCTTCGAAGATTACTTTTGTGCACGAATAAACCAAGCATTGAAGATGAACTGAAACGTTTAAAACATTCCTTTTAGCAAATTTGATTCTTATGCATATCTGTGTAGGCTTTCATTAGATAACAAGACGCAATTTGGCGAATCTCGCTTAGCACGATCACTGCAAGCATTCTATTCAAGGTGGGAGGCGGGAAGTAAGAGTAGGAACACGCTAATCTGAAAAGTGCACATTGGCTAAAGATACTGATCCTCACAGTACAAAATACATTAATAAAAACGAAAGGGTTCGGTTTCTTAACTTATCCACACATTGATGACGAATCAAACGGCGAACGTCACTGTTGGTATAGATGCAGGTCCTTGAAAAATGGGCTTTATTATAAGGCCACAGTTCGAATGTGCTCACATTTAGTGCAGAAAAATTAAGGATAAACAAATAGCTAATATAAGCATGCCAATGGCAGTTTTCCGCTGCATTAATCCCACAGAAGCGATCCTGTCAGTGGATCCGTGGGAACAATGGACTCAGAGAACCGAGTGATCTTGAATGTGGGTGGCATCCGGCACGAAACGTACAAAGCAACCTTAAAGAAAATTCCCGCCACGCGGCTGTCGAGATTGACAGAAGCGCTAGCCAACTACGATCCTCTTCTCAACGAGTACTTCTTTGATCGACATCCTGGAGTTTTTGCCCAGATTCTCAACTACTACCGTACGGGAAAGTTACATTATCCCACCGACGTCTGCGGGCCTCTATTTGAGGAGGAGCTTGAATTCTGGGGACTCGATTCCAATCAGGTTTGTTAGCAAGCCTCTCTGGTTCGTTCTACTGCCTTTTCGTCCCAATATTGCACTTTATTTAAGAACTTTGAGATCATCCCGTCTATTGTTAATTTATAGCTAAGGATTATTTAATAGGAATTCACAATGGTTCCTGCAGTTTTATGCGCACGTTTATGCAACATTTTTATTTAGACCTTTATTTTAACGTTATTGAATTCGATAGAATGGGAGCTTGTCTACTTTGAAGCTGAAACGCACTTTCACATCTCTTCTGGCTTCTCGCCAAATTCGTATTTCGTAATAGGCTTGATAACACAAATAAGTCGAAGTAGATTTTAATGGTAGGCCATTCATAGGTGCATCGAATTGAGAAGAGACTTCATTCGCTGTGTCGCTTTATCATATGAACTCGAGATTATGGTGTAGGAACTTGTCTTCGCCTTCTAAACACTCTTCAGCCATTGTGCATGCCAGGCATTACTACATGATTGTCAACTCCTAAGACCTCAATCTCGCTCGTCGTACCATTTATCTCACAAAAACATACAGATCGTGCCTTACTAATACTGCTACGAACTTTTGTACTCCACCCTTAACGAATGGGCACATAATTGGCCAGTCCCTAAACCTGTGGTTAGACATCGCCCACACACCTCATGGGCACCACGTGACCCTCAAGAGATCATTTTCAAGGTGACTGCAAGGTAGGCTGGGAAAGGAAATTGCCCTCATAACTTGTCGGCAAAGCATGGGGCTATCAGTTTGAGGAAGGAAAAGTGCATCATATTTCACTTAAAAAATGAAGTCACTCATGAAGAGAGGCTGTCTTTAAGGTGAGAGGAAGGCACTGACGCAACCCTTTCCAATTCTCACCAATGACATTTCTTCCAACAACAAGTGTTGCCTTCCCTTGAAATTCATGAGTGAACTTGGTGGCTAGAGCTACGCTGTTGAGTTTCGTACAGTAACGTTGACAATTAACCCTTTTTGAGAAGCTATAGTGATTTTTCGCCTTTGCTAAAATAATTGCACAAATTTATCCACTCGAATTAAAATTAAATTCGGCTGTTATTCATAAATAAAGTCAGCAGTTATGCGTTCTCTTCAACCTCTTCGCTCTGACAGCGACTGACATCTACGTAATATAGTTTTGCCTCATCAAATTATACAGTGCGATCTGTTATCAGTCATTTGAAAAATAAGATATACCGTGACAAGAATGACCGTATGAGACAATCAAACTTCCAGGTGAGAAGGAAGTCCAGAAGGCTCCAAATTTGCTCGAACCGAACACTACAAAAATTACATCGTTTTTGGTGAAGCAATTTGGTGTTGGTTCCATTTGAACCAGCTCATCAACCACCACTTTACCATCAAATGAGCGGATTTTAATCCGATGCGCTGATTGATCGAGTTCAAAATATTTCATCGTAAACAGTCTTGTCTAAACGACCTCCAAGAGAGGCGGCGCGTCACGACGTCACATTAAGGGACCATTGAGTGGCATCCACAGCTTTGATGTTCTATACGATCAAATTCGGTGCCGGAGGTTGAGTAGATGAGACACATTTTTGAAGAATTTTGAAAGCGCTTCCTATTAGAAATTTATTTCTCCACGTTTTCCGTGTCGTACCACTCAAAAGAAAAATAGTGCGGTGACACTTGGACTCGGTTCTTTTCTGTCGGACTTGGATGACCATTTATTCCGTCGATCGATGCTAAAAGATAAAGTTAAATGCTACAATAGTCGCTGTTTAAATGTGAGAACTAAAATTACTTAAGATCTCATACAACAGTTTTAAACAACAGTGATGTAATGAAAAGGGCAAATTTGAGACGTTGCAGTGTCTACTCCAAAGTACTTAGGACTTATCAATTACCGCAGGAAAGCTTTCATCTCGGATGTTTTTATGTCGGATTAAAAAGCCAGTCTTATTGTTAGTAAATGCGATGATTAAGTCAGAGTTAAAATTTCGGCTACATTCGATGCTTAAGCAATGCCCTCGGATCGAGTTAGACGAGGAGGTACACTTCTATTCACTTAATTTAGAGCCCTCTCTGATGCCAAGTCGACAAGCAATCGGGCAAATGAAGTGTCATTTAAGCTTGAATACAGAAAAGTAAATGCCGTGCCTACGAAGTCGTGGAATGGAATATTAGGGCAACTGGGATGATCTTATGCGTCACTTGGGTCAAGTACAAACCCTTCTAACCGAAGTGACATTATTTCGTTTTCCTCATTCTTTGGTCACATTGAGCTATCGCCCATCATCCATGGACAGTGCGTTCTCGTACGGACATTCATCAAATTTTCAGCATTTAAGACGAGTAACTAAGACCACATACAACTAAGTCTTCATCTTCTGGTACTTAGTAGAGGCCAGCATTTTAAATAACCTGAAATTTGATTAAACTCGCAAAATGTTTTCTCATTTTCTCATGCATTGTAATGGCTAAGGCGATTTGAAATGCGCAGCCTTCACTTGTACCATTTTGACATCTCGTGAAAGGGCATCAGCACTGGGCGCTTGCCAGTAGGTCATGAACATTATGAATGTGAGTGGACACAAGTGTTGACGGTGCTAATGTTCCACTTGGAGCGAACAACAACGAAAGAAAACCAAATCTGATTTGAACAATTGCCGAATTTATCTTGATAGCCAATGCTTGTTGTCGTGCTACACATGAACTGCAATAAATAAGCGATGTTGGCTTGTGGACGAGAGGAAGGGCGTCGTAATAATGTTCAGTTTTGAGAATTAGTTCTGTATTGCAGGATTTGAGTTAAAGTTGTCGCAACATTTGGAATAGCACTAGAGGCGAGCGCAGGAAACAGCTAATAAGGTGTGTTGTCTCACTGGAGCTGTCACCGATGCAGTGCTAATGCAACGCACTTCTTTTTGGAATCCGAGCATGTATCGTAGCAAAAAACACAAAAATCGATTTAAATTTTGTAGCATTTGTTTGGACAGCTCAAAAGTACAACAATAACACTTAAATTTTAGTTAAGAAACCACAAAATTTTTCCGTTTCGCATAGATTTACAAATGCCGGCAGTAGTTCGAGCTGACACTTTCCTTTATTGCGAGGGTTGGCCACAGATAAGGCTTATTTTCGGCTTGCGGACTAATGCACCTTTGAAGTACCGTTTTGTCATTCATTAATAGGGTCGCTAAGGTCAAGTTATGCTTGTGGGTCTTCCTTTGTAATCGTGCTCTTTCCAACGCCAGAACCACTTACCTTTTTTTATTTCGTATCGCAGTGAGCTAATTACTTCATGTGCAGTACTCAAAAAGTTTGTCATTAAAGTTACTCGGTAAGGTGGCTGTTAGCAATAAAATGAATTGAAGAACTTCTCCATTTGATAAGCCGTCGTTTGCAGGCATTGCAACTCCGATGAAAGGGGTGCTGTGATTACCAGTCAGACCAGATGACATCCCGAGTCATGGTTTGTTTTATGATGTCTACTACTCTTCTTGGGTGTATCAAGCAGTTAAAAAATCGTAAGACTTGACGGGGTTGCTTATTTAAAGAAACTCGAAGAAATTTCGGTGGCAATTGTCATAGAATATAAACGCAAGCATTTAGAACGACTCCTGAAAAAATATTCTCGTGTTTCGACAGAATATAAACCTCGTGGCCTAAATTCAAGAACTTTGCTCCTCAGATGGGGGTTCCAGTCCTCTCATTGAGGCCCGACAGTTCTACGCATTCGCCACTAGCTCTGCTTTTATTCTTAAACTGAAATTTGGATGAGCTTACGAAAAACACAGACGCATTTCTGAGGGTTTCATCACGAAGTATGCACGTGTTTACCAGAGCAAGCGATTACCGCGCTCTGACATCATGCCTTTTCGTTGTCTACCTATTTCTGAGGTTTTACACAATGCGTGGTCGATCTTTATTATATTGTAATTTTGATTTTTATCAACAGCCTCATTCTCCATTTAAGCCTTTTGCAATAATAGGGCTACTATCAGCTTCTATCACCTTTAAAGTACACTGGCTTCCACTTTAAGGGACAGGTTGTGCCACGAGATGAGGTCTATAGGCGATAGAAACCTTGCAAACAAATGCGATTCTACAATAGAGTGATCCTTCAACTCCTTTCAAAAAGAGTCCCAGCCAATACTTGCCATTCGCTACGGTATTTCTCATGCAGGGCCTAATTCTAGCTACAAGCTAACTGCTACAATGGATTTCTCACCGAGCTTTTGGTTAAGCGAAAAATAGGGCTAAGAGGCGGCTAGCATATTTTATCTACCTTTTTCCACTCTAAATCAAGATGACCAATAGGAGCATCCGTTGTCGCGGTCAGCTCCTCTTGTACTAGAAGCATCCAATTTCCATCATCACTCCTACCTAATAGCTGAAACGCCTCGTCGTTCGAGCATTCTGCAAGCATAATATACATTTAACAATTTGACGCCTTTTCATTTTCCTGTTTTTTTAACACAATTGTAAAATTCGGGACACCTCTTTAACCACTTTTAGGTGTTAACTAGAGACACTTGGCTAGTTCTTCAATAGCTCTCCACCACTTCATGTCTTCATCATGGAGAACTGATCAATTCACCAAACAGGTCGAACCCTTGGAAGGAAGAAAACAGACTTATGATTTTCATGTGAACAGAATGATCGGAATAAAGTAAAAGAAATTATGTAACCAATTAAGATTTGCATGTTAAGCTCTGACGCTAAGTTAGGTAGTAAGCCACGACACATTGTTTTCGGTTTCGCCTCACTTGCCCCATCGGCATCACCTGAAGTGTCACCAACTGAGCTTGCGAGGGCGTAGAATAAACTGCTGCTGGGATTATCTGTCCATCCATCTGTTTTGTGCCTTAATCTGCGCAACTCACTTGGACGTGGTTACTAACTCATGTGGAGTAAGAATCCAACACCTACTAATTTTCTTGACATTTTTCTTCAATTTTTGGTTGCAACTCGACTCTTTTCAGGTTGGAGGAAAAGAACGCTTTCCCCATTCTAGTGTTGTGATCAGCCAACCCAAAACAAAGCAGAACCATAATTACTTTATCACGACTTTTGTGAAACACAAGTTTAGAGCATCGCAGAACTGACGATTTTAAGGTTTAGTGAATCACTTTACACATCGTTTCCAGAAGTGTTCATTCAAAAAACTCGCTTGATTTATACTTTAAGTTCCTATTCGTGTTTGGTATGAAGCCAAAAACAAAATTCAACGTTAAACTTACTTATCTTTATTGAAAATTGAAGATTTAGGATTATACCCAATGCGATTTTCCGGTTTTACAGGTGGAGCCATGCTGCTGGATGACGTACACACGGCACCGTGAAACCCAGGACACCTTGCAGACTCTGGAGAGATTAGACATTGACACTGACAAAAAAACGGAAGAGGAGCTCTATGAGAAGTTTCACTTAGAAGAGCAGTACCTTAGTGGGACTCTCACAAAGTGGCAGAAGTGGAAACCCAAGCTGTGGGCACTCATTGATGAGCCATATTCGTCCCTTTATGCCAAGGTAACAACTCCTCTGACTTCATTTCTGCTCACCTTTTTAAAAATGTTTGGTGAGGGAGAAAGGGGATTATTTTGGGGTGTCTTTGTGGATGGACTTCACTCAAACAAAAATGCGAATACTCGCAGCTGTTGTTTTAATGATCTGGCGAAATTGATAACATTAATGCAGTAAAATGTTAAATTTTAAGAGTGTGTATGACTGCTACGGTAGGCAATAATTGTTATATAGAAAAAGGGTTTGTTTAATTGACCTTTCCCGACAGAAAAGTCGGAATTTTGGATCCGCTAGCTGCTGATCAGCAGCAGCGTTTTTGGGACTTATCTACGGATGTAACACAGGATCGGGGAAGCTTTAAGTCAAAGCCATTAACTTGAACATATTCAAGTTTTGAAGGCCAAATGGAATGAGCTGATAGAAATTGTCCATGTGATTGTGTTATTTTATCAGATGCTGAACCACGTCCATTACAATCGGATACATGTTGATGCATACAGATTGCTAACTCTTATTGGAGGCAAATCTTGCACAGAAGTAAACTTTTGTCGCATCAAATCGAGCCAAAATTTACTGAGAATAAAACTTTTATGGAAGGGCGTCTTTCAATGGCATTCAACATGGAACGAACTCCGCTTACAGTCTTTGAGAGGACTTCAAAAGGATCACTTGCATTTGACTGCTATTGGCATTGCTCTGTTTGTGGCCTGTTCAACGGTAGAGATTGTTTAAATCGCCTCATTAAAATTAAGGTGTCAAAAGCGAGACTGAAGACTTGACATTTTGGAAGCATTCCAACTGCAAGATTATTGACCATTATCCTCACATTTCCAGCAAGCCATCACTTTAGCCCATAATAGGGCTCACGGCAATTATGGACTCATGACTAGCCATGGGCAGCGGAACCTTAGTATACATTACAATGGAATCACCTCACATTTTTTTCCAAACATATCTCAGTTACTCTGACTTGACTCTGAGTTCAAACTGAAGAGAATTAGCAAGGTTTGGGAGGGATGTAACCTTGGAATCTTTGCAAACGCCAGATGAGACGAAAAGGCCACAATAATTCAGAAAGGCGAAGGGACCTGATTGAAAGCTGGGTTGCCCAAACTTTCTATGAAATCTAGTTCTTGAAGGACAGAACCATGTTGAGCGTATTTACTGGATGATAAAGCATTTTGTGAAATTTGTTTGGCTGAAATAGGCGTGGGTAGTAATGAAACTTTACGCAATTATCAATGCTTAAGTAACTGGCTTTAAAGTTAGTGCTGAAAGGATAAGTTGAGTTGCACAAAACACATTAAGTGAATTCAGTTGATTGCAATCTGATTACAGCCTTTATTTACTTACTCATATACTGGTTTCAGTAAGTTAGCACCAACTCTTTCTTCTGATTATTTTCTAGGTAGTTGCATTTGTTTCCGTCTTCTTCATCATCCTTTCAATCGTTTCCTTCTGTCTAAAAACGGCGCCGTCAATGCGAATTCCGGAGCTAGTGAACCGAACCTTCGAAATGCCTTTGGAGGAATTTACGCCGCCCAAGTTCGTGGGCGAAGGCTATTATCTGGGTGAGACGGAATCTCGATATGAGAATGAGGGCCCACACAGAGTCACACATACACGTTTACCAAGAGCTGTCCCTTCGGTCCCAACATCCACCACAGAGACCACTTCCTCTGCTACGGCCGGACCTATGCAGACTTTCTGGATGATCGAACGCACCTCAATTCGGGCCCACAACATCTTCGACTACATCGAAATAATTTGCAACATTTGGTTTACATTCGAGATTAGTCTCCGGTTTCTCGTAGCTCATTCCAAACTCGCCTTCTTCCGTTCTGCGGTCAACGTCATTGACCTCCTCGCCCTACTCTCGTTCTACCTGGATCAACTCCTTGCCAAGGTGCTCATCATAAACTCTGAATACGAGGTCCTTGAGTTCTTCTCCATTGTGCGTATCATGCGTCTCTTCAAGCTGACGCGCCACTATTCCGGCCTAAAGATTCTCATTCATACATTTCGAGCAAGTTTGAAGGAACTTCTCCTCCTAGTTTTCTTCCTTGGAGTCTTTATCATCATATTTGCCGCACTTATGTACTACGCTGAGCGGTTCCAGAACAACCCACACAATGACTTTAACTCCATCCCTGTGGGACTATGGTGGGCCATCGTCACAATGACCACCGTTGGATACGGTGACATGGTACCAAAAACTTACTTAGGTAAGCTTTTCCTAGACATCCGTTCATATTTTGGTGCTTGTACCCATTTACTGATTTGCAGATTTTCCATCTTGCTGTTGCGAAATGACATTACCGATTAATTATTTATATGTTGTGAGTTCACTTGCACTGATGAAAGCGTCAGATGTGTTTCCATTGTTGATGCGTTGTTGCTTTGTAAAATGTGGAAGCAAAAATATTGTTACGGTCATGTGCCTTTGGTTGCGGCAGTCATGTTCCATTCATGCATTTGCAGCTACGTGAGGCGAGAAGAAGGGCGAGTTCTACTGAGAGCACAACATACAGGCTGATTGCTACAGCCAATTTGATTCACTAGACTCATTCATGCATCATTTAATTTGCGGTTGATGAAGTTGAAAACATCTATAGCTTGCCGAATTCAAAGGTTAAATCTCATCGTTGCATTGAGTTTGTTACAAAGAATTCTCGATTGCAATATAAAACTGGAATGCATGTCGAAAGGAAATTACCGAATTTTAATCGTACGTTGATGCGGTAAACACCGTCTCCCATTTCAAACTCAAGTGCGGGACCGCTGCTGTGTTTGTATACAGCCGCTTTATGTCACTGGAATTAGGTTACTAGAAGACAAAAGCTTTGAAAATGAATTCAGTCTTCATCAAATTATCCAACCCTCTCATTAGTTAACTTTATTTTGTAATTCCACCCCCTAGACCATTTGAAGATAATTGAAGTGAAGCCCTTTTCAAAGTAATCTAAAACCCAATGTCCCGTTGACTCTAATAACAAAGCCTGGGAAAGGAAACCACTCTTTATCGTGTTGACGAATAAGCTATTTGGAAGTGCTTCGGTCCCGTATCCGGCACTCACTGCTTAAGCACTCAAACAGCACCCCATCGTAGCATGGAATAAAAGAGCCGGCCTTACAAAGTTCTTCTTACAGTCCATGCAGTCAAACAAATGCGTCGCATGGTAATGGGAGGAATGAGGAAGATCTTGAGCCAACCTAAGGAAACCGGATGGCGTCGTACCCGAATCAAAAGGCACCAGAAATCCATTTTAAAGTTTCCAGCAGTCTAAGAACTGCATCGAAACCATCGCTATGAGAATTTTGCCGATTCTTTGCACAAAATGATGATCTAAAATGTCTCTAGTAACGGTAGCACCTGTTTTTTAATTCTTCAAACTCCCTTTTCCACTAAATTCAGAACCTCCTTACACAGCCTTTTGAAAACACGCAAAAAACTTTTTTTAGGAAACTTGAATGATAACCTAGATAACTTCTTTTAAAACAACTTTACTAGGCTTAGTGCAGTCACTTAAGGATAATGAGTGACCGCAATGAGGCACACATGCTGCAACAACAACCATTTTCTATTTGATGGTTCGGTTCACTTCCATAATTCCGTTCGGAAGTTGCTTGAGAAGACTGTAGGAGACATAAGTTTTAAGTAAATGTGAAAAACCTTTTCCTTTGCAGGCATGATAGTCGGAGCAATGTGTGCAATTACTGGAGTTCTAACCATCTCGCTGCCAGTGCCGGTGATAGTCTCAAATTTCTCAATGTTCTACTCACACACACAGGCACGTTCGAAGCTGCCTAAGAAGCGTCGTCGCGTGCTGCCCGTGGAAGCGGTGCGACCAAAATGTGGTGTTGGTGGCGGTAGCGGTATAACAGCCAATGTCTTCACCGGCCTTGCTGCCAACTTTGGTCCTCCAGTCAAACTTGCTGAACCCAGCCCACTGCCCGAGGCGCTCCACGGGCCTGATACCCGGCGAGTGGGAAGCAGTGCTATTTTTGAAAACGTTCACGCTGCTCCTCTCTGTCCTCGCAGAAGTATGCATTTTTTCCCTACTCTCTCCTAACTTCATCAAGCCTAAGCAAAGAATAATGGGTCAAGACATGCTACCAGGAGCTGATAGCTCAGTAAATAGAATGCTTTTACAAAAGTTGGAGTACAGTTGCGTGCATCTCATTCCACCAAGTCACTTTTCTCCGAAATCAAAGATGCAATGAGTCAAACTAGTGTTAAGCCTATCGCTTTAGGGGTTCGGGAGATGTTCGAAAGGCAAATCCCAATTAACAAAACATGTCTCTTACTAAGAGGAACAGTCTATGTCTTTGGGGTTGGTGATCAGGATGATTCCGAAGGGGGTGGTTATGCTGCCCATTAGAAATGAAATTATTAGTCAATCACTGTAGCCATTAATGGTGCAAAATCCTTGTAACCGACAGCTCACGTACAAAAGAGGCCTTTGTTTACTCACTAATCCCACGCCACGAACTGGAGCTTAAAAATGCTGTCCTTCTGGGTTCTGGTATTTTTAAAGTAAGTGACATTGGGACCATTGGAAAACTATTCATTTGGAAATCTATTCTCACCACAACAAAACAGTGTCATGCGTAAAGGTTGTACCAGTAGTCGGTGAGGTCCTCATACCGTTTAAATCTGCTATGTTCAATGCTTTTAATTAAGGGCGAGGATGGAATCATCGGCCTTCTTTTAAGGAACGTACTGCATAGCAGAAGAGAAAGTTTAATACTTTCAGAGCAGTTGCTCTGAGTTGTAGAGATTCCTAGTAGGAGAATGTATCAAATCTCAATATACTCCTAATTTTAGCCAGGGCTGAATTCAAAATACATCAGCATTGGATTAACTTAAATATGCTAGCCGCTAAAGCCTCGTTTATTTTCATGAATTCGCAATTAGCGTTCACTAGCACAGGGACTTCCTTTTACCAGTTTGATCTCTTCATTCACTAGCTGCTGAATGTGTTTGTGTCCTTCGATGAATGGTTTAATCCTAGTTTACGACGTGCTGATTCATGTGCTGCTTTATTTCTTGTGCATTAGAATGATCTTTGCAATTTTATGTGGCATAGTTCCTTGCATTACTAATTTCAGCAAATTAAATCTGTTAAAGTAAAGGCATTCCTAAATTATTTTGACAATATTGGGTGCCACCGTTGGAATTAACAGCTTTCCAACAGTGCACATCTGCTACTCTTCGCAAAGGTTGGAGTCCACCCGTTGCGGTGGAGCGCAAGCACGGCCACTTACGATGAAGCAGTACCATGGTGAGGTAAAGTGACTCTCAGGAAAGGATCTAAGGTCGGTTCGAGAGGTCTCACGGGTTGACGCGTTTGTAACTGATAGCCAATCTAAGCAAACAAATATTGGCTAAATGGATAACAAAGCTCAACTTCTCTCGTGACATTTCCTTGAATAGGCAGAAAATCTGTTCCTCCTTCTTTCTGTTCCCCATCATCTGCACTATTACTGAGCAGTTTTTTTGTGAAACGCCATGCTAAATGGGGGATGCGTTATTTCTAACAAGGTGACAGTGTGTATTAACACAACATACATTTTTACTCGACTAATGTCCCTAGTGATATTCCCATACATTTTTCATACAACTACAGCATATTTTCAGTTCCACAACGTTTTCGCAAAGTTGGTGGAGCTGAGCTGAGCGTGCAACTTATTTCTTTTAACTGATGTGCCGTCTGTTAGTCGGCTGGTGCGTTTTCATCATGCGGCATATAATGCCAATTTTGCACCGCTTTTCCAATTGACAAACGAATTCATATGTTGTGAAGGCTCCTTCGGGAGAGGAGTATTGGCACCCTTTCCTTCAGAGGATAAAAAGGCCTAAAGCAATTGCATATTAGGTCGAAAGCAGGAACACGAAGTTAAATCCAACTTGGGAACACCGCTTAAAAGAGTGAATGTTGGATGAGGTCGTGTTTGATAATGTTTACTTGCGCAAATCTGCATGCTCAACTAGTTACAAGGTCTTAACTAAAAAGAAGTTGTAAGAGAGAGCATAGAAAGATGCGAAATTATGAGGCTTCAGGGTCAAGCTTTCGGATATGCTACCTACTCATAAATTCGAAACCTTGATAGTTCACAAAATGAAAGAGCACGCATTACGCCTTACTGCTGACGATGTTTCTCAAAGCACCTTTTGATTCGCCCTCAACCTTGCCATTGGTGGCACAGATTCGACTCCATTTGCGAACATCGCACGAACCTCGAGAAGGGCTTTATCCTTTGACAGAAAGTTGATTACGCACAGTGTTGTGCTTCCGCAAAGCCAAAAAGCCAAGCAAATCGAATTACTCTCTGGCAACATCACAACCGACCGAATCTAAAGCATACATTACGGTTGTCTAAATTGTGACTTACTTGTAAATTGTTCATACTTAGGTACTCAATGCAACCGGCAGGTCAGTCTGGTGGGAACAAGCGAGGAAATCTCAAAATCGCCGCGAAACTCACAGACATCAGGTAGGTTGCCATAGGCGTGTTGTGATGCTACCGTATTGTCATTACCAACAAAAGTATTATTCATAAAAGTCTACTAAATTTCGCAGACTGCAAGCTGCAATAACACAAAATAGAATGGCTTAACTATTTAAAAAGGTAAGCAACATCTTATTAATTTTTCACGGCCCTTTTCTCCCTAATTAGTGTGCCAGAGTGTTGGCTATTCAGTCGACATCAAATAATTTTCCATTACTGGCTAGTTGGCAACTAATTTTTCCTTTACTGATTAATCAAACTGTCAATCAACAAGCTTGTCAAACAATCGCATATGACCAACTCTGGTGGGTATTCAGAGAACCGCTTTGTTTCATCAACAAAGGTAGCGACAAATAAGAGGACTATAGAGTATCCGCATTAGCTCGTCGAAAAATTATTTGCTCTTTGTAAGGGATTTGCTTCTATTAGCACAGGTTGTGTCTAAGGGATGGAGGGATTGGATTGGGAAAAGCAAAGCTTTTCCGGAGACAGCAATTCATTCCTCAGAACATGAATTAAGATCCAGTAGCAAAACATGACAAATGAAACAAAAGGATGTGCATTACTGCTAATTCGCTGGGGTTGGTGAAATAGAGGAAGTTTCCCATTATAGATTGTGGCAAAGCTCTTTCTGCTTGCGAAAAAAACGTTTTCATTCATGAAGAAAGGAATTGCGCTTTCACACAGGGTGGAGAGTCTTGAAAAACATTCCCAAATCGGTCGATGAATCGTCCATTTCTTTGTGGAAGAGGCGCATTTTCATCAAATTTCGTTGGGGCCGTATCATTCATTTTTTGCGGTTTGGGACTCGACAGCAATCCAAGGAAAAGTTACAATAGGAGATAAAGACCGAATGTATCCATCTCATGCCTACATTTAGGAGTGAAATTGGCCTTTTACAAACTTAAAATGCACTTCCCATTTTTACCATATGGATTTTTGTTGCCTTTTAGTAAAGCCACTTTTAGTATGAGCCACTTATGCTTTCGAAGGTTACTTGCTAGAAATGAATCTCGAGATTAGGACCTAAGTAGACGCAATTTACAGTAATTTTCATGTAGTATAAATCCTAGCTAGCAATAATTATTTTCCCCAAGCTAAACTGCATTAGTCATTAACAGAATTGGGGGATTAGAAGGCTCTGTTACAAAATTTCGATCCAATCTTGCATTGACTTGTTTGAAAGTGTTTCCAAATGCCAGGCAGTCGTCAATGTCCAGCCCCACGCAAAACACGTCTCCTTATATCCAAGCCTGCTCACCGTTTCACAGTAGACTGGCAACAATGCAGCATGAAGGTGGAAATTGTACTGCACAGGCACAGTAGGTAGAGGGCGGCCCCGCTTACTGGAGAATTATTGCCCATTTACAGGCGATAAGTTGCTTATCGTTCAGTGCGCATTTGACCAGGTTGGCGTGCTCTTCCAAACCTCATCATTTCAAGTGCAGTTGGTAGCATGTCTGTTGCAATAAAGTTTACTGTCTCACTTAAAATAAGTGGTCTCTAAATATTACCATCTGAATAGCGGTGTCGGTTAATCGGTTGGCATTTTTTTCTGAGCGACTAACCCACTTCCCTTAGGCGGATCAAATCGCTTTGTGTTCACTTACTACTCTCACACACAAACCATAGCATTATAAAACTGCAACAGCGAGGAAAGTTGCTCAGCTTCCCAAGTCATCTTTATCATGTTTAATGGACATGCAACACCTTGCGTCTAGTTCGACATTCAACAAAATGTTTAGCTCTACCTGTCTATGGCCGGTAACAGCAATGTAAACAGAATCAAAACCATCAAAATAAAGGAGAGGCTCACCATTCTCACGAAGAGGTATTTTTAACAAGAAGAAGGTGATAAAATTTTGATTTAAATTTCCAGGCACAGGAGTGATGGCTTAAGATTTGTCCGTCTGCGATGACATAATTTTACGGCCTAACTTAGTGTTCGTCTTAAGATGGCATCGGTTGTGTCGTTTTGTATACTGACTCGTTTCCATCCACTTCCTGGTGAACTTGGCGAATATGTCGCCGTGGCTACAGTGCCGTGGAATCCAAGATATTATCATTGTGATCTTTAAAGATACTCTAGTAGATCTATATGTAGCATTTGATGGGACAGCTCCGGCTCGATGAACAATTTTACCCATTCACCCATTTCATACAATGATGTAACGGATGAAGATTTGTTTTGAAGTTGATAGGGATGTGTTTTGGCATAAGTACATCCAAAGTATGAATTTTGACGTCAGTATTGGTGCAGGCAGACGTGGAATGCATGTTACCGCTTAGTCGTAAACTAGATAGAAGGCTCTTGCATGACGGTTCAGATGAGGCACCGCAGGGCAACCTTGACCCTTAATTATGCGTAGACGAATGGCAGTTTGGTTTCTGCAGCAGAAAAGGATTTTCGTTTAAATAGCCACCTTTGGGAACTTTGTGAGAGTCAGTCTCAACATGTGTTATTAAGGCCTTAATGGAAATCTCGATATTAACTACCGCATTACGAATTCGGACGAATTACATACGAGTAGGTCAAGAATGCATTTTGAAAGCTACTTTC